GTAGAGGAAATTTTGAGTAAATAGGCTGGCCCTGCCCACACTGCCTCCCAGACTCTCAGCCTCCCAGCTGATCTTCTTTTGTTGCCCTGAACAAGAGAACGGAGCTGGAAAGCAGCTTAATGGGGTGGGGAGGGAATGGGGATTTTGCAATATCCTTCCCCTGCCATGCCCACAAAGCCACGCCCACAGAACCGGTAGTAAAAAAATTTGAATCCCACCATTGTATAAAGCCAAGAGAAAAATAACATCTTGTAACAACGAAATAATTGACCCTAAACACTTGAATCCATGTTTGATGTCACAATTATAAACAGGTCATTCAGGCATGTCTGCCCTGAAAATTAAGCATTTATTAAGCATTCAGAATGAAAGCAGAACACAAACAAGAAAACCACTCTGTGAGTCAAGTCATAAATATAGTCCATTTATTTAAAAAACATTGGTACTCAATATTAATAGCTTATTTCAAATGGAAAAAGAAAGGAGTTTCCCTTACTTATATCTAAATGTGCTTGCACTGCAATATTCCGGGAGTTGTAGTCCCAACACATTTGAAGATACAAGGACTGGGGAAGGCTTGCATAAAACACAGGTGGTCAACATAAGACAGAAAAACACCAAATTTCTTGGGACAAACTGCTAAACTATAACTAAACGCCTAGTGTTAGTATAGTGCTAATATAAGACTGCTGTCTGTTGCCTGGTTATTTACAAACAAATTCTATGAAATTGTAGAAGGGACCTCAAATAGTGCTCATAATAGCGTGGCACTTTTTCATACTTTGGACTTACCTACTTACTAGAAAGTCTTTCTAGTAAACAATGGAGAGATGGTTTGGAAAATGCCACCAACCAAATCAGTCTTAGAGTCCAAAATTGTTTTAAAACCCCATGAAATTCATATATTTTTGAAGGCAAACCAAAAGGTTTGGAACTATCTGCATTCCTATTCTCCAAACAAGGGAGAAAATACACCAGTCGTGGAGTTAATATATTTCAGTTTCAGCCCTGTAACATTGTTCTAGCTAGCTGGACTTTGGAATGAGTGGTTCAGTTGCCACAGATTGACTTTCCCCATCTGTAACAGGGGTTGTACTTGCCCATGCAAGCAAACACCAAATGGTTGTTTGCATTAACGAGATCAGGTTGCATTGAAGGATTTTTACTCGTCAATGGAATTACAGTTTTGTTTGTACAGGTAGCGTACTGTAAAAACGCCTGGATACCTAGAACAGAAACTCACCAGAAGAAAATATGGCCTGAAAATTGATCTCAAAACAAACAACATATTTATAATGTACAAGAGAACAAAAGCCATAATGGCAAAGCACAGAAAGAAAATACTAAAGAACAGTTTTATACGCATGTAAACATATGCCCTAGCATGACTTTTTGACTGCTCTCTGAGCTTGTCACATAGAAGTATTTTCAGTTAAAAAAAAAAAGCTTCTCTAAACATTTACAAAGACCAACGTTTTTTTCCAATACAAAAAGGTATACAGTTTAATTAGGCCATATGCACAATTAAGGCACAGGTTTCCCCCCCCCCCCAAATAATTCACATTTAAGGAACATATTTTTGCCTGAACAGACCATTAATTAGAATCTTACTAGAATGGTTTCATTTACATGAACTAAAATATAAATATATACTTTAGAAGTACTTTCAAGTATAACTGCCATACTAAACAAATATTTAAAAGCATACTGTACATACATACTTCTTTAACGATATTAAGCATTTCAGAATATCCTATTTTGTACATAGACTAATTTTTAAAAAAACACACCAAAGTGGAAATCAGTGAACATGTAGCATTTTAAAATTTCACTGTTTTGAATGAGTCTCTTGCAATAGCTTTAGCATGACTTGAAACTACCTCATTGAAGTAGTTCCTTTCACTTTAATGGGGTTTCTAATAGAACACACATTTTCCAATTAAAGGAATATATTCTCATATAGGATATTAATATACACATATTCTGAATCTTCCCCTTTCTCCCTAAATATACACATATTCTAAATCTTTCCTCCCCCCCCCCAAAAAAAACCTTGAGACGTTTTAAATTTGTTGAAACACAGAAAGGCCACGAATGGGTTGAACGCAAACATTCAATTGCTGATGAATGCAGCCATGTTATGATTATGTACCAAAATTGACTGGTACAAGAGACCCTGCTCTGAAAAAAACAGGCAGGCCCATTTGAGAACCAGTAGGACAATTCCTTTATTCTTTCCACTGCCATTGGAGATTCAAATGGGCAATTTTTTACCATTTAAAACTAATTTATAGATCACTATAATAGCTAGGTTCACATAACTCTTAACTTATGGCTTGGTTTATTGAATAAACCACAGTTGGTTGAATTTAAACAACACACACAAAAAAAGCACACCACAGTTTATAAGCCACCGTGACTTGAGTTCATACAGCACCTTACCCAAATATAAATAAACCAAATATATTACATCTCTGCAGAGTTTCTATAACCTGAGCATTCCCCAGATATGTGGACCTTAATTCCAAGAATATTTCTTAGAATTCCAGAAGTCCATGTATTTAAGGCAAGGCAGAATTGTAGAAGACGAGATCAGTGCAATATGTCCATTTAGTATCTGAATTCAAATTAGCGCATTTACAGAAAGCTAGTCAGGTTTCCAGTCCCTACTCAACCAACAAATCAGCTAGTAGTAGGCAGTTGCTTTCTACCTCTGTTGAGTCCCTCATAGTTCTGATTCTTTCTCATACTCATGCAGATAATACTCATCATCTGTGGTGGTGTCGGTGTCAGAGTCAGAATCTGAATCTGAATCTGAAGAATACGCAGAGGCTTCCTTGTGGAAATCAAAAGGTTCATTTGGGAACTGTTCCTCTGTAGCACTCGATTTCAACAGCTCCAACCCACACAAGGAGTACCCACCACCTTCCCTTTTAATAGACCCGGAGTTCTTTAAAAGACACGGATTCCACAACCGTCCTTCCGTGAGTGACTTCTTTATGTTATCTAAGAAAGTCTGTTGTTGTTCTTTCCCAAAAATACCAAATTCAATTGAGGGGTACATGATACGTCGCGAGCCAAAGGTCCTATTATTCTCGTTGTAGGTGTCCCAGTTTTCGTTTTCATCACAGGACAACAGTTCAGAGTAGGACTTAAACTTCCGATTATATCCGGGCTGTGTCAGGTTGTTTCTGGGGGGCAAATAATCATGGAGTTTTGGGGTATAGGAACTTTCAGAAAAATGTCGTTCACGCTGGGTTTTGTCGAGATTTAGAACTGGTTTGGCACAGGATTGATTTATATTTTTAAAGATGTCTGACTGCTCATTATCTTGATAATCATCACATTCTGTATGAGAAGTTAATTTTTGCAGTGGAGACACATTTGCCTTTGAATTATTTTTAATGTATGCATGTTTATCAGATAAAAGTGGAAAAGATGAAAGCTCACCAACTTTACAATGACCTCTTTTAGGGGGGTAAGCATCCATTCCTGAGAAAATGGGATGGTTGTTATTTTCTAAAACTTTGCTACCTGTCTGTAAATTGTTGTTTAGCACAGGCATAATTGATTTTGAAAATACGATGCTAGAATTTTGGATGGTCTTTGTATTTTTATTGCTTGGCCCAGAATGTTCTCTTTTCTGGTTGCACAAGTTTGTCAAAGGCCTCCTATCTTCGTTAGCTTGCAATTTCTTAGCTTCTACTTTACTCAGCCTTGGAATATCAAATTCATCGGGTAGAGAAACCTGATTTTGATTCTCATTCTCTGTTTGCTGAGAGTCATCGGGCGAAATCAACAGGGGATGGTGGCTGCTCTTCTCTAAAGGAAGTGCGTCGTTTTGTGGAAATATGCAACTTACGTGTGGCTTGGGACTTGAGTTTTTCTTATTAGAAAACTTCCGACTTGTTCTGCACATGGCTGCCAGTTTGTTTTTAACTGAAGACCTATTTTTCCTTTTTTCTAGGTCATTAACTTTATTTTTAAGGCCATCCAGGGCAGGCTTACTTTCAGGTAGTAAATGCTCAGGCATTTGGGTAGGACCTGAAGGCTGATCTTTAGAGCTAAGGATCTCATTGTCGACCCAGACTCTTTCAGACCTCTGAAAATTTGTGCCAACTTTGTGGAGGACGGGATTTGGGGGCATCTCCTGCTGTTGGGGCTTTGAACATTCCACCGCATTCCCTTTGGGGTGAACAACTGCATTAGCTGAAAAAGCAGCATCCCCTGGCACTGTTAAATTCTGGGAATCTGAATGCATCTTGGTTGTTGAAATGGACATTTTTTCATTTCGGACATCTTCATTTCTTGGTGGAAACCGATGTCCCCTTTCGGAAATAATGCGACATATATAACGAGCCCTTTCTTTGATCTCTGCAGCATTTCTCATTTTTTCTTTCGTGACATTTACTTGGGGGTCAACTTCTGGATACGCAGTAGGCTTTCCATCCTGGATAACGCCAATTAAATTGGAAGGAGGAACACTTGTTAGTGCTCCAGCAGATGGCTGACTGCAGCCAGGACTCCCTTTCTGACCATTTACTGCAGAAGAAACTGCAGAAATATTCCCCAAAGAGATACTTTTGGAATTTAATGAGTTAAGATGTAAGCTTTTATTAAGTTTTGGTGTCTCTGTCCATGGAGAAGAGTGCCTGCCAAGGTGCAGGTTGGACAAAATATTGGTGTTAAGTGTTCCAGTCTCTTTTCTGCTGGGTTTGGGGCCATCCACAGGTAGCCTATTGGAAATTGCAAGTCCCAGCTCTTCGTTTCCTGATACAGCTATTTCTTTTTTATTATTCATTGAACAATGTGCTTGAGAAATATCTGCTGTTCCCACAATGGGATTTGAAAGTTGGGGATCTTTAACAGGGTTGACTGTGTTTTTGGAATCCTGCTGTATATCAGGAGCAGGCATTTTGTTAGGGGAAATAACTTTCTCTCCTTTTTCCAAGCTGGATGGAAAAGCTACTGTTGTCATACCGACACGAACTTCATACCGCTTTTGAGGGGTCTCGGATTTTTCAGGGGGCGAGGATGAATCTGCCTTTTTGGCATCTCCTAGGAAGACATCGCACAAAGCTTTGGAATGTTTCTGTGGTAAAGTATAATAAACCGAAATCAGTTCATGGTATTTTACATTTTCTTCATCTATGCTTACGGTCAATGTGCTGGTGGTTTTATATTGCTTCAAAGGGTTTTCTGCTTCATCCTTTTCAGGAGAAAGAAAAATTGCTTTCTCTAGACCAAGCATCTCATCTCTTTTTTTCCTCTTGCTTCCAATTATAGCAGTACTCCCTGATGGGCAGTTAGGAGCTTGAATTAAATGCATGTGGTACTTTTTAATTTGTTTATTTTTTTCTTCAGCCATTTCTTTGGACGATAGGTTTAAGGAGGAGCAGGAGGAGCTGAACAAAGACCTCTTATCTCCCTTACTTAAATTAATATTCCCAAGCCTGTTGGGTACATGGGCTTCTATGTTATCATCCCCCAGGCTCTTATTTCTGAAAGGAATTTTCCTCGTAGGGGGAGAAATGCGTTCTTTAGAGAGATCACTGCCATCAATACTAGCTGATTTTTTATATAACGTCTTAGGCGTTTTAGGAGATTTGAGAGGGCTGCTGCTGGGTGAGCCGCAAATACTATTACTAGTCGGATATCTAACAAATCTATTCGGTTTGTGGAGTGTTTCAGCATAAGAAAGTGGGAAATCATTGTTTGGAAGTACTTTGGGATCTTCGGTGAAAACTGGGTTTAACATCCTGTCAGGGTTAAATGCTTTCAAAGTTGACAACTGGGGTTCCTCTTGAGGTTTACTTCGAAGAACCGACAGCTTTGAAAGATTAGCATGCAGGTGTGGGGGGCAAGCTTGCTTTGCACTGTAGCTTTCAGTGCTGTTGTCTTCATTTCTTTGGCCATTGTTAGTGTGAATATTTGATAAACAAATGTTTTCATTGCATCTTGAGGAATTTGCCTTGGCTTGCCTTTTTGAATTTAATATAAAAGGTGGATGGAGGGAAACACTCATAGGAGGGGCAGCTTGAGAAGAGGCTTTAGGAGGCGACATCTGAGATTCAGTTGGATTATTTGTTTTTACTTGTCCAAACGCTTGGATGAATGTTGGCTTTTTTATGTCCATGCTATCCATTTTGTCTGATTGATCAGCACCATTCACCTCTTCCATGCCATGCATTTTAGAGTTTTTCTTGGTCTGAAAGGGTTTAACAACTGTCTTTAAAGGAGCTTGACTGTCTCCACTAAAATGACTTTGACTTGGGGCTCCATATTCAGTTTGGTTCTCCGAAGCAGCTGAGACATGAATTGGACATTTTTGCACGCCTTTTGAGCACTTTACCAACAATTTGCTAGTTTCTCTTCCTGGATGGTCCCTACTCTTTGTGTATTCTGAAGCACAGTCACGCATATGTTCACTTTGCCATATGTCTCTTTTTTTCCCATAGTCACATCGCCGGTCAATCACCTGTTCAAAGTTTACATCAGGGACACGGTTAGCATCCCTGAAATACTGGTGATTATTAGGTCTAAAAAGATATTCCTCCGTTCTTCCAAAAGGAAAATTGTTTGGGGACGGATTCATTTTACCACGAAATGATGAGTATCTGTAACATGGTTTGGAAACATTTTTCAATGGATGCAACACATAATTCTTCCGATTGTGGAAACACAGAGGATCTATATGTTTCTCGGTGAATAAAGGATGGCTCTTGTTTGGTATTACTTGTCTGTAATTCATTTTTGACATAATATATATATTTCTTGCATTTTCCTCTGGAGAAAAAGGATGTCTGTCTTCAAACGTGGAGTTAAATTCTATTAATGACTGCGTTCTACGAAGTCTGTTTGGATGTAGTGAATGTGTAGAAGACTGTGGCATATTCCATGCAATAGATGAAAGAGGAGTCCGTCTGGAATGATTGTGGAAGTTGACTTTTGGGAAGTCCATATTGTTTTCCAAATCATGCTGTAAGGTACCGGTGGAAAACCCATCAGCAGACATCAAAGACGAGCGCCTTGTAAGGCAAGACAAAGAGTAACTTCTGCCCATTTTATTCTTGCACATGAAGTTCTGAGGACCAAATCCATTACTGTATGATCCTGATGGAAATGCCAACCTATCTTCTGAAGAACGTCCAAGAGAACAAGCAGAATATCCTCTCTTCAAAACAGAAGATCTTTCATCACACAAATCCCCATATGTGTATTTTTCTGGGTAATGCTGCTTCGTATAGTTATCATAAAGCTTCCTTGGTGTGAAGAGAGTTTTGTATTTATCTCTGGCTCTTAATGTCCTTGTTCTATCTGGGAAAAACAAGTTTTGGTCATTTCTCTGTACTTCTCCAAGGAAATTTGGTTGCACAACAGTGGAATGATGTTGGATTTCTGGTGCTGTAGAGCCATAGTTAGTTGGAGTTCTTATATTCATAGTATCTTGAGATTGTTCTTTTGCCAGCTGGTTATCCAGACTGTCCAAAACTAGTGAAAAGAGAAGGAAGGAAGGAATTAATTTTATTTTTCAACACTGACATAGATCTACCTGTTGTGAGTTATGGTTATACATAAAATAAAACCTCTATATATCTCTATTTTAATTAAGACACTAACATAACAACAGATATACTTAAAAGTTTTTGATGCACACTGTCAGAGGCATTTCTTAAAAACACAATATTTTTCTCTCGCAATCATTCTAAAGAGCCTTTTGTTCTTTTTATTGAACTGCAATTTTCTTACAAGTTAAAACAGGCTAAAATCATAGAAAACATTACCAAAATTAGTACGTTAGATTGCATGACTGTTGTTCCATGTGTTGTTGATTTTTCTCTAATCTGAATTTAAAGCTTGTTATGGCACATTCTGTTGAAAGCAGATTGCAGAATTCATTTGCATCCTGACATACAATATACTTGGATAAATGAATATATACTTGCTTGCTGGCTGTTCCTTTGGCTGAAATATTAAATCCAAATTCATTTCAAGAACATTTTCTAACTGCCAAGAATGTGGGGAGATTAATTTGCAAAGTATTTTCACCTTGGGGATACAAGGGGTAATTATTATTTTTTTGTGCTGCGTGTGTTGTCCTGCACCTACCATTCCTTAGTTCACTTAGGGGAAAAAAGCCCTTTCCTTATCAATTATTTAACTGAGGTACAAAAAGAAACACTTTAAAGGAGCAAAGTTCTATCTCTCCTACAATGACTTGCCATGGCCTCTGAAGCACCATCTAATATCACCACTGAAATTCAGCAACAATCTGACCATACTGTCAGTGACATTTTATGTGCTTTTCAGCGCAAATTAAGGATCAAAGCGGGTTTTAAAACATTTATTTTACCCCTAATCTTCAACCTCAAAATTGAAAAGAATTGGCCTATTCTGCATACTCTGGTGAGGCCACCTTATCCCTAGCCATACACTCTATCAGTGGTGGGTTGCGGCCGGTACGGCCTTGTACGGGCATACCGGTAGTAGCCGGGAGCAGCTGACAGCGTACCAGTTCTTTTGGCCACCTGCATTCTATACCGGTTTTTAAAGCAACCGGCCAATTGTGCATGCACACAGTGTGTGGCGCCTGCGCCAGCTCTGACAAGCAGCTGGGTGTCAAAGGGGCGGTGGAGTGCGCATGCGTGTGCAGCGCATGTGCATGTAAGGGTGCACGGCCCCGTGAGCACTGTACGGGTAGCAACGGGGAGAGGAACCCACCACTGGTCTCTATGGCAGTGTTTCTCCACCTAGGCAACCTTAAAGGTATGTGGGCTTCAACCTCCAGAATTCCCCAGCTAGCATTGGAGGTTGAAGTCCACATATCTTAAAGTTGTTAAGGTTGAGAAACACTGCTGTAGGGGCTCAAAATCTGAAAACATGAGCAGCCAAGCGATGAATAATTTTTTTGTCTCTCTTCTGAGAAGAAAAATAAAAATATTTGAATATTGGAGAAAAAGATTAAGGAGAAGCATCAGAAAGTTGAAGAGAGTCCTGGAGTTTCTGGAGGGATTATTCTGGCTCTTCTCTGATCATCTGATCTTCTCCACTTGTTTTTAGGGAGTACTTTTCCTGTCTTTACCTGGATGGGTAGTGAGGATTACCCAAGTGCTGCACAGACTGTACTACAGAAGCTGCACACAATGTTAAATAGCAGGAAGAGGAAACTTTGAGGAAGCACAGCAAGAAAGAAGATGTGTCTCAAGGACTATCATTCATTCTCCACTGGTTCAGCTTTATAATTCAATGTATGTTGGTTGGTGGTGGGTTGTTTGATAGTCTTCCTGGACAACGAGACCCAAGTAATGTCCCCCATGCAGTGACAGTAGTGCCACTGTAGCTATCCAAAGGACATACTCAAAACTTTTGATGAGCGACAGTTTTTGTCTGGGTAGATTGCATTAACGCCTGAAGGTAAACAGGATGGCTATAGATAAATTGGAAGGTAATAATCCTATTATGTGATTATCTAATTCATTTATTACTCCACTCAGAAGATCTTGGTGAAACTACAGGGCAGTCTGCCCCAGGCTATTGACCTATACACACCTTTACTTCAACTGCTAGAATTCTTGGAAAGCATTGCCAGTAGACTGACTGGGAACTGACGTTTAGCACATTTGGAAAGCACCAACTTAGGCCACAGTGGCATTACAAGTGGTCCTTGTTTAACAACTGCTTATTCAGCGATTGTTCGAACTTATAATGGTGCTGAACAAATGGCAATTACGACTAGGCCACACACTTAAGTGTCATAATATCCCCGCAGTCACATGATCACAAACCAGGCATTCAATACTGGTACATAATTACATCACGGTATCCTTCAGCCGTGTGATCACCATTTGCAACCTCTTTTGCAAGCTTCCTATAAATGAATGGGAAGTATTAAAAGTATCACATGATACCCCCGTTTAATGACCCACACTTAATAATGGCGAATAGAATACAATAGAATAAAATAGAAGTGAGAAAGGACCTTGGAGGTCTTGTAGTCCAACTCCCTGCTCAGGCAAGAAACCCTATACCAGCGATGGTGAACCTTTTTTGGCTCATGTGCCATAAGCGGGGGGAGCGCAGGGGGGGTCATGCGTGGGTGTGCCGCATCCATAATGCAATGCATGACCTCCCAGTGCGCATGCGTGCATGACAGACACGACCCCTCATTTTTTGCATGCTTTTTTCGCCCTCCCCAGACCAGAGGCTTTACAGGAGCCTGGGGAGGGAGAAAACAGCCTCCCGCTTCCCCCGGGAGGCTTCAGGGACCTTCAGGAGGCTTCTTTTTCTTTAAATCTTTTCTTTAAAACTTGCAATGTTGGAGCACCCACAACTTCTGGAAGCAAGTTGTTCCACTAATTAATTGTTCTATCTATCAGGAAATGTCTTATTAGTTTTAGGTTGCTTCTGTCCTTGATTAGTTTCCATCCTTTGCTGCTTCTTCTGCCCTCAGGTGCTTTGGCGAATAGCTTGACTCCCAATTCTTTGGGGCAACCCCTGAGATATTGGAACACTGCTATCATGTCACCCCTAGTTCTTCTTTTCATCAAACTAGACATACCCAGTTCCTACAACCGTTCTTCATATGTTTTAGCCGCCAGTCTCCTAATCATCTTTGTTGCTCTTCTCTGCACTCTTTCTAGAGTCTCCACATTGAATTGAATTGAATTGATTATATTTCTATGCTGTCCTTTTCCCCGAAGGGGACTCAGTGTGGCTCACAACCCAAGTCAAGGGGGAGCGGGTACAAATAAGGAAAAAAAACATCTTTTCTACATAGTGGCGACCAAAACTGAATGCAGTATTCCAAGTGTGGCCTTACCAAGGCATTATAAAGTGGTATTAACCCTTCCCCCAATCTTGATTCTATCCCTGTTTATGCAGCCTAGAACTATGTTGGCTTTTTTGGCAGCTGCTGCACACTGCTGGCTCATTTTTAAGTGATTGTCCACTAGGACTCCAAGATCCCTCTCACAGTTACTACTATTGAGCGAGGTACCACCTATACCATACCTGTGCATTTGGCTTTCCTTGCCTAGAAGTGCTGAATTTCTGTGGCTAAGTGCTACATTCATATGACATTGCACTTTCTGACCAAGTTACTTGGTAGGAGACATTCCATCATTAACTGAGGACTAGCGGAATATAAGAATGTTTTATACGGTTGTACCACTTTCATACCCAGAGTTTGCAAGTCATGTACAATGCGGAGCATTGAATTTACCTTTTAAAAGCTCATTTTCCAGCTCCTCATTCCACGTTGACGTGTTGTCCATCACACCAGCTATGTTTGCATCGAGGAACTTATTTGTAAGTTCAGAGGGCAAAGAGGAGTTGCACATCTGGGTTTACGAAGAGAACAAATGAAGAAAACATATAATTTTTTCAACCAAACAAAGCCATTAAATACCTATCTATTATTACAATTCTCTTCTATGGTAATATTAATAGTATTAATATGGATACAGAGGTGGCCTTATTTCAACATTTGCACATTTTTCTCTCTTGCAGATAAACTGCTTTAGCACACCTTAATTTAGTTCTAAACTCGTCAACAATTAAAGCAAATGATGCAAAAATTGGCCACATCTGCAACAAATAGGGGGTAGAAATTATAATTATAGTTTCTGAACATTACAGCTGAAAAGCAATTTTCTGAATGAATAGGCATGCTCTTCTTGAATGGGAAAGAAATCTTCTTGGATTTATCACAATTATTAAAATTAAATTAAAATATACAAATATCAATAATGCTTTTTCTAAATAAATTCTTTCCTTGTTTCTAGTACCTAAATGAAAGAAAAATACGAATAGAGGTATACTGTAACCCTGGTTCAAAGAACCAACAATATTTTGGCAAACCGTTTTGGTTAACTGATTATAATCAAACTTCTTCACAGAATCTTGCATTATAGAATTTTGGTCTTGTGGTTAAAGCACCAGGCAAGAAAGCAGGGAAAGTGGGGAATACACAACATGGTTATATACATACGTAATAGGCAACCAACATCTTCATCTGCTTTCAAAGCAATGCCTAGGTCTCTTCCTTCAATTACAGGCTACTTAAGTAATTAAATTTGCCCTGCTTTCTCATCTACTTAATCAGCAGTTTAGGAATCCGACTGTCCTTTGGGGACAGGGCAATGTTCAGGAATTCTCCAGCACTTGCACCTTACAGAAGACTTTAGCAGGTACAGCAGGTGGCAACCACATTGGAAAGAAACCCCCCAGTTCCAACAAATGCAATATTTTATTTAGTCATTTCAAATACAGCCACCTGTTGTAGCCGGCCAGCAGTGCTGGCAGCAGAGTCGGACAGTGAGGAGGTTGGGGAGGAACATGGGCCAGTCCTAGAGGCTGGGGGACGCTCCGACGAGGGCTCTGCGTCGGAGGCAGAGAGGGGGCCAAGGCCATCTGGCACTTCTCGGCTGCCTTCGGAGCTAGACAGCAGTGAGGCAGAGGAACAGCTGGAGCCTGTTCCCAGTGTGTGCATGCTTAGAGCTTCCAGAAGAAAAGAAGAGCTAAGAAATCAGGGTCGACTTGGGAGTAAAGCCACAGGTGAATGCCCCCTCCCATAGGAAATAAAAGAGGAGCAAAAGGGGAGTGGGATTTTGCAGGAAACAATTGAATGTTTGTTTGTTCATTCATTTTAGGAGTGTGAAGATCTGTCCGTGAATCTCAGAGACTCTGTGCCAAGTCTTTCCTTCCACAGCACTTGCGTTTGGGAAAAATTCACATTAGTTGAATAAAAGCGGTTTTGTCGGGACCAGGAATCTGCTTCTTGCTTTTTGGGGAAGCCTAGGTCAGAATACCACCCATATTTCAGGCAACTCTGAACGGCTCCCAATCGAAGATTAAAAGACATGTAAAACCACTTGAAAAACTACAAAACCCAATCAATTTAAACATAAAGCATTTAAAATAACAAAACCTGGGGCCAATTCATGCTAACGTGCCATTCATTCATTGTGTAATTTTCTTCCAACACTTGGAAGGAAAAGCCAGGTCTTCATTATATCACAAATACCAGCGAGAACTTTGCAAATAGAGTCTGAAAAAATCTTAAGTTCTTGCATGAGCTAACGTTCACACTTCGTCAGTTCTAAACTTTGAACCTGTATTTGCATATTAGAAAGGGACGTATTTTATTTCCTGTCAAGTTTCTTGAAATGGCATTGATGAGAGTGAAATTACTAAACGTAGTCCTTGAGGTAGAACCATAACTGGGGCCAGAATCTCCATTGTAAGCAAAGCAGTTGTTAAATAAATCACGGCCAATTTTATCACCTGTTTGTCTTTGTTAAGCGAATCATTGCAGTTGCAAAGTGAACCTCACGATCCTTAAACAAATCCAGTTCCCTCATTATTTGTTGGAAGCCATCTGGGAAGGTTGGAAATGATAAAGAGTTGGCTGCCACTGGTTTGCCTGGGTTTGGAGAACCTCCAAATCCCACCCAATTGACCCCTCCCTCTCCCAGGAGTCTCCATGTGGCCTGTTTTGGACATGAGGTACTGCAGGGCCCATGTGGAAGCTCAGAAAGGGGGGGGAATGGCCCTCCTGGAAGTTCCATAAACAGACCCGTTTCTGGCCGTTTCTGGCCTCCAGAGCTCAGGCAGGCAGTTTTCGCCTGCCGAGAGGCTCATGGAAAGCTTCCAGAGCCTGGGGAAGGTGAAACACCCTCTCCCCTGCCATGGTGCAGGAGGCTGACTAGGCCACCCCCACCATGGTATTCTACTGCATTGATAGTGATTGTGTTAAAGTATCAAATTAAAATATTAATATCCTCATTAACTGTTAGCGTTTGCTTGTAGCATTTTAAAACTCCTGTTTTTCTCTCTGTGAGATGTCCTGGTGGTGCCCTTTCCACATACCAATAGCATAACGTAACACAATCCCTATCTCAATGCAGTAGAATACCAATTTGAGGGAGCCTGAATGTGTTTTCAAAATGTGAAGTGTACCTATGGTTGAAAGGTGTTGGAGAACCTTACCACAAAACAACGATGAACTCTTAATTAATACACATTTAAGCCTGTGCAAAGATAAGAGAGAGGAAAAAGGCACAAAGAAATCTTCCCCAACACTTCCGGGGTGGGGAATGCAAAGGATTTTGTAGCGAGGCAACTGGAAACTCGACACAAAACACTTTCTCCCTCCCTCTTTTTCTCCCTAACTGTCTCTTGAGCCCAAAAGGCCGGGGTGATGAGTATTTCTCCCAAAGGCCCACGAGGAAGGGCCTGGGACGGAAGAGGCTGAGTACCATTACCCAGAATGAACAGCTAGGACCCTAACAGCGTAGGCAAAGTGGTAGAGCTGGATGACTGGGGGAGAAACCCTGGGGGTGAAAAAGGAGCGGCGAAGGGTAGGAGAACAGTCCCATTCCGCCTGGAGTATGCCCACATTATGTGACCCGGTAGAACGGGCCAATACGAGGACTTCTTCCTGCTAATTCTTTCTCACCCTTTAAAGAAGTTTCAATAGGTTAGGGTGAAATTGGCAATACTTCCCAATGTACTTAGTATTGTAAGTATCAAGTCTTGATCATCACTAAGATTCTGCAAAGCAAGGAAGCAAATATGAACTATTGCTTCTAGCCCTTGGATCATAAAACTGTTAAATGACCGACCGTTGCCATTTCTTCTGCTTTGAAAGATGTGACGGCACCTGAAGTCATGTGGTCATGTCTGTAAAGAAGAATTTAAAGTGTTAATTTGTCACTGCAAGCATCAAGTCGTTGCGATCAGAATCAGAAGTGAAAACTATCTATATTGCCTGAATATCAGGAAACTTCACATTAAACCACCCTGATAAGAAAGTAATATTCCATTGCAATCCTCAGTTTATCTTTTGGGGGCAAGGTCTAGAACACACAGCAAAATAGTAAAACAGGCAGTCACAAAATTGCATTTCACATGAATTTAAGATGTTTATTTTTATTTTCCTTACTGGATTCATGGAAAACACTATTATGATTTATTAAAATAGCAATGCTTTGTTAATTGAACATTATTATCTTAATTCTTGCATGTAAGCCATAATACAACTTGATTTTGTTCAGCACTGCAGTCTATAAATCTTGGTTATCATTTCAAGGATGTAAAGTTTCCTGCCATGGATCTCAGTATTTACATAAATTACAGTTTTATTACGTCTGTTTAATGATTCTGGCACTCCTTAAACCCAGGGGAATTTCAGGATATTTGCTAATGCCAACATACAAAAATCTCAATTACACTATTATGTTATAGTGTCAAAGTCTGTTATTACAGTATTATAATAGTTCATATTATATTATGAATTCACATTCTCTTCATTGCATCTTTACTCTAAAATGGAACAGGTTGCCATAATAGGTGATACTGCAGCAGTTTTTGTTCTAAAACAAACTATAATGCCTTTATGATTTGGAATAAAATAAATTATTGCTACAATCTGGATTAGAATAATCCTCGTAGAACCTTAATCTAAACTTTTGAAGAATATAGATTTTTCATATAGAATTATAGAGAAACTTACTTTAGATTCTCTAACAGAAGGCATTCTGAATGGTGAATCTTTGTAGTTGATTAATACCGTTTCCCCTAAAATAAGACCTCCCCGGATAATAAGGTTTTGAGCGCATGCGCTAAAATAATGTTGAATGTTGTTGAATGTTGATTTTATTTATATGCTGCCCTTTTCCCCCGAAGGGGACTCAGGGCGGCTCACAACTCAACCAGGGAAGGGGGATACAAACAAAAATTTAAAAAAAAACAGCACAAAAACAATACATAATTAAAAACACACAGGAGTCATACCAATTCGAGACGGGGGTTCTCCAGAGTTGCCATATTAGACCTTTCATGTTGCCTGGCTATGGCGGAGCTGTTGAAAGTAGAAGTTCTACAAAAGCATGTGCTAGAGGTCCATAACTTAACTGGGAAATCCTAGAAGAAATCTGGACTGTTGGCATGTAGATTATTTGCTTTCAAAGATTAGTTCACTGATTTGCCCAGATCTGATCAAGAATGTGGATTCGGGTTCCAGGAAGAGCAGCTTCTCCCAGCAGCTTTAACTGAAATGCCAAGGCCTTGATGTGGCACTTCCACATAAAGTATTGGAACCCAACCAAGGTTATCAGCTAACCAAGGCACAGAAGCAAATGCTTGGAATTGCAGGCAATATATCCCCA